GCTAATGAGCTGTAGTACAGGCCAAAGGACAGGAGAAGTGTGTGTGTGTGTGTTTGTGTGTGAGGAAGCCCACCCTTCATGAAGGTGAGTCTGTGTATCTGTGAGGGTGTGTGTGGAATTGTTCCCCCCTTCAGCTGCTCTGAGTGGCTCTCATGGACAGTTTGAGGTCAAGTCGGACTCAGGCCTGCCGTTAGGTCTTAAGTGATTTCTGATGGAACCAAGTGCTCGTTGCTCCCGAGGTAATTACGTACTTCAAGTCTGAAGGCAGCCTGCGAATGTACCAGGTCCCGCAAAAGACCTTTTAAAACAAAGCCTGACAAACAAAAAATGTCAGCCTTGGCAGGATAAACAGAATAACATATTTGTAATTAGTAAGCAGGACTATCATATTTCAAACAGAAAGTGAATTGGATAGCATTTCAAAATGCTGCAAGGCATACAGATAATGTTGCAATTTACCATTTGAAGATTATCTTAACTTCTTATTTTACAATAGAATGACAACCAGCATGTAGACTGATTAAGTAGCAGTTAATGTATGTTGGACACTTAATATGAAGGTTGTACTTTATGTGTGTGTGTGCTCATTTAGGAGATGCTGCCTCTAGTCTCACGTTAAATTAAATTAAATTAAATTAAATTAAATTAAATTAAATTAAATTAAATTAAATTAAATTATTGTTGTTGTTGTTGTTGTTGTTAATAATAATAATTTATTATCCCTCTATTTCGAACAGGTTAGTTATGCTTATCAGATTAGGCCTATGCAAATGTATACCCTGTTGTGTTTATGTAAAAAATTCAACCTGCGACATGCAGACTGTGACGTATTGCTTTAAAAAGCCATTTTTTAACCAACACTTTTTTTTTTAAATTCTTGATTATATTGTACAATATCTTTGCAATAATAAAGATGCATTAGTAGTGTTTATTATGTGTCCCTTTTCCCTAATAAACTGCAAAAGTAAGTGGAAAAGTTCCAAGTTCATGTAATGGGTTACAAGTAGTCAGAGGCTCTTATCAATTTACATTTCCTCGCACTGCTTAGATAACAATGCTATTAGGATACTTGCCATAGAGATTAAGTACTTATGTGCAACTAACATCTTTCTTAGTGCTTTGGGAAGCCAGCCTGATTCTAATGGCACTGCAGTTGAAAGACTTTGCAGTTAAAATACTTTTTTCTTCTTATACTCCATTGACTAAAGATGAAAAGTTAAAAAAAGTTCAGAGTACTGTAACATGAAAAGATCTGAAACCGATCTAAATAACTGGACCCCATCAGCTTTAAAGGAGAGCCGAGACACAGAGTGTTTTTTATCTGATTAACCTCGATTTTCCTCCCATCTGGGTGTCATTCTTCCTTCCTTGTTCTTCAATTTATTAAGCTCTCTGTGCTTCCCTAAATTAGATGTAACTCAGCCCTTTTACTCTGGCAGCATAAAATGCTTTCAGTTTGGCCAGTCTTTAAGCATAGTCAATTAAATAAAATGTGCTACTTAATTTTATGTTTATATTGATACTTTGCATAGTTTTATTGATAATTAAGCATTATCACAAGAGTTCTGAAAACAACACAATTGTGAGTGTGATACTGTCTTTATACAGCAGTTCAATAAACAGGAAATTAAATATTGAGTAACTTACATTTTAGACCCAATATTGCCAGTTACTGTGTCTGTTTTTGTTCTGCCAATGAAAATAGTCCCAAACAAAGTCGCATTAGCTGTTGCATGTCTACTAGCAAAATGCATTAGTAGTGTTTCGTTACTGAATAAATCGAGCCTTTTTAACCCTTGTGTTTTGTTCAAATCCCTATAACACTTGGTGTCAATGATCATCCTTTTAAAATTGCTTGTAAATCGCTTGCTATACTATATTATCACCAAATTTTGGTTTCCATCTTTTGTCAACTTGTTTTCTTTCAGTTAGGACTGATTTTGTATTTATTTGTTGGTTATATTGGTTGTAGGCCTCATTAATCTGAGCTTAATCTGTAGGCCTCTAATGAATTAGAGTGCAACTTTAATACTATCAGACCAACTTTTTTCATAATTTAATATTGACAAAATTATCCACAATTAATGCTTTTTTTCACTCAAAAACTGAGGTACGTAAGCTTAGATTAATGATGCCTATGATCAATCAATTGCAAAAATAAATACAAAACCAGTCCTATTTGAAAGAAAACAAGTTGGCAAAAAGATTAAATCCCATATTTGGTGATAATATAGCACAACATGAGATTTATAAGCTATTTTCTGTAGGCCGGTTATTTTTGACTGGGAACACCACAAGTGTAACAAGGTCAAATAAATTTTTTTTTTTATTACAAAAATTATCAATTTTTACAGGGGAAGTAATTATACCCTGTGTGAACGAAGTCAGTAAATCTTAGTCCATTGCGATAACATTAATTAACATTTTCAGGAGAAAGAAAATCCTTCTTTTTTGATTATCCGTTTCACTTGCATAAACGTCATAACACAAAACAAAAGATTTGTCGCTATTTCCATTTCATTACAACTTACGTAGTCAGCTTGCATTCTGGGTCAAGATAAAGAGGACGTGAAGTTGTCTTTCATTGCTTCCTTTGTCAAGTATGTTTCCAAAAGGCCACAAACATTCCAAGGAATTAAAAAAATGTATTCTATCCCAGTTATTGGCATAATATTCATTCTTAACAGCAAATACTGCTCATCATTGCTTCTCCTACTGTTGCAATCAATTCTTTCCACTCATCAGGTGTTGCCCTATCTAATGAATGCCAATACTGCGGTTGATGCGGCTTTTACATTTGACAGCAGACGTGTCAACCATTTTGTGGTCACTACAGTTTTGAAATGCATGGAGGAAACATTTGTGGGCTGATCATTTTTAAACCATCTTGAATGACAGCCAAGAGCTGCCCTGAGTGAACCCAGCTGGTCATCCATCATTGTTAAAAACTTACATCCCTGATTGGGGTCTGGTCTGAGGCCAGCTCAACACAGGTGCTTGGCACAGCATTGACATTAAAGCACTCCACGCTGAATATCGAGTAAAAGAGAAGCCGGGAAATTTCAGTTGCTGTTGTACTGATTACTAAAAACACTGGCTCGATAAAAGCCTGTGGTTGAGATTCTCTTGGTTCATTTAGATTACATGACAGACAATCCTATGTCACAGACAGTGGCTCTTCTTCTTTATTGTCTATTTTCTACAGCTGTCAGGTCTTATACAGGAGGAGACAGTGCTATAGATTTACAATGATGGATGACTAAAGCTTGCTAAAACAGACAGACTAGATATCACAAATGTGAATAGTACAGAAATTCTCAGGGTATGGTTATTTTGTATGAATTTATTATATTATAATATGTATAAATAATGTTTGTTTATATATACTGTACATACACTGCCTGGCCAAAAAAAGTTGCCATTTAGATTTAAATAAGCAAATACTGAAGAGTTTAGGATTGGATTATTAACATGTTTCTGACACGTTGTATGTTTTGCAACAATTGTTTTAACTCTAACTGATGCAGTGCGTAGATTTTTACTTAAAAAAAAACAACCATGTCAGAAGATGCACACATGTACATATTCCAGGATGACAATGCCAAGATTCACCAGGCTTAATTTGTGAAATAGCATGGTTTATTGAGCACGAGGAGACAGATTAAGGCAAGTGTGAGTCAATTCAAGTCAAGTTTATCTGTACAGCGCTTTTCACGATACAAATCATTGCAAAGCAACTTTACAGCAAATTAAGTTTCTACAATATTTAGTGTGAGTAAAACAATGGTAATGTGTGTGAATAGAGTATTAGTAATGTAAGCGAGATTATCGGCAACCACGCTGGCGATGCTAGCGGGCTATATGCTAATAGCAGACTCGGGAAGTCAAAATAGAACTAGTGATAACAAGGCGCTCTGATTGTTTTTGTCGTAGAATACGATAGGGGATATATTCACACGTTATAGAAACGAAAATTATGGTGTATAAAATTGATTTTAAGATAAAAAATTAGACGACAAAGAATTAACTTGACGGAGCTCAAACTCAAAACACACGGCAGCAACAAACAGGAAGTGACGCTTCGACAAAATGAGTACGGATGAATTTATATATCTTATTTAATTGTAGTGGGAGGAGTTACAATCAGCTGAGCATCAGCTGATGCTGGCTGTCACACTGTGGTCTGCCTGAACTACGCTTGAGCATCTTTCGTCACTCAAACTACATAAATAAATAAATACCACCTGCCTGTTTCTACAAGTTCAGTTCTGTTTGGTGAACTCTGAAATTATACACTTCACCTTTAAATATGAACACAGCTGTTACATTGCACTTGCTATAAACTTAGGATCACTCCTTAATGCATTTTAAAAATTCAGACTCTTGAGCACTATTATTTCTTGAGGTCCAGATTAGAGATTAAAGGTTGACTTTTTGGAGCCCTCAGAGGGCATGTATGTGGTTTATTTGGGGTTGAGATGGCACATAGAACATGACATGTCATTGAATTATTAACCTATATCATACCTGTCCGACTGCTTGCTGTCATAAAATGTCATGAATAACTCTGATTAGTCAAAGAACATGATACTTTGCTTCAAAGTGTTATTTTTCCTTTCTCTCTCTCTCCCCCACAATTTGTGCATGTGAGAGAGATCACTAATTTGCCTCATGTCCTGGATTTGCTTATTCATCAGGCCTCTCTGTATTATTTACGAATGGGGTGAAAGGCAAGGGCGAACATCTTTATTTTCATAGGATAGGGGGCTTGCAGCGGGAGATGATTGGCCTTTCGCTCAGCTACAAAGAACCTCTTTTCCTTTGATATTCCTATGAAATTATCACATCTCGAACAGTTATATCACAGCCTTCTCCTTTGCCTGCCAAACCCTCGTATGACCTGCTTTGTGTCACCCACTAAAGTAACTTGATAATTTACTTTGATGTTCACTTATCTTTAACAGGATTCAAACCTATTTTGTCTTTTTTTCCCCCTCTAGTCTTCAGTGAGAGGAGAGAATATTACGATCTTTGGCTGCCTGAATCATGGGATGCCGCTGTCCCTTCACGACAACACATCAGTCTCATGTGAATCTGGTAGGACAGTCTATGATTTAGTCTAAGATGAATCTCTTTAGGCCATATGCAGTTTGTATAGTATCTTCACCATCACATTTTGTAATATTGTTTGCAATTTTAATTTAAAAAAAAAGGAATGCTAAAATAAAATAGCAAAAACATTTTTATTTTTACTATTAAAAAATACATAATAGTAATAGGCTAATTGCAAGTTATCTTACCATATAGTATACAGTGAAAAATTATTAAATTAGTAAATATATTGATATTGATATATTATACTACATTACATTACATTATATTATAAGTAAAACATATCTACTTACAGTACCTCTTATTAGTTTTTTTACCTTATAATTTATAGTGAAAAAAATATTGTGAATACATCAAATTTGATTCTATTCTATTAAAGTAGTTTTTTTATATGTTTGTTATTAATTATGTACCATAGTGTGTTTTATGTTAAATTTTATGTTGTTTTGTTAATGTTCATGACACTATTTTAGTGTCACGTGTTTGATGAAAAACTGTGTTGAAAAACTGTTACCATATGTTTTTGCAGTGGACAGACAATGTTTAAATTTATTTCTGATTGTCTTTTAAATTGCTTTGGGCCATTGCCCTTTGCTGTAATGTTCATGAAGACAACTCAAGTTCCCTAGGGCTTTGATCCAAAATCATGGCAATAAAAACAATGAAGTGCCTTTTTTGGAAACAATTCAGTTGAAACAAAGAAATATGTCGCCATTTCTATGCAAATGCAACATAAATAGCATCTCATGGCTGCAGGTGAGATGTGGTAAACTTGCTTCTACCACATGAATTTTCTTTTATGGTCCATTTTATGGTTGAGCACATCACTCAGATGTTTTTCTTTAGAACGCTCAGTTCAGTCACAGCAAATGGTGGCACTAGGTTTTCTTGTCCTTTACCCATTTGTGCTCTTTCTTTATCAGAGTCAGTTTCAGGATTTCATCTCTCCATTAACACCACCACAAATATCACCAAGCTGAGGATTCCCTACCCACAGACAGGCACGTGGTATCTGAGTCTGCGGTCCCTGTGTGCCACTGAACACGGGTGAACACATTTGCATTTCTTTCTGTTTGTGTTTCTGCACTAAATTATCAGACTGCAGTTGCTGAGAAAAGGATGGAAAATATTTACCTTCTTCAACATTTAGCAAGTGCAGTAGTAGCAGCATGTGAACTGTGGGATGTTTCCTATTTGCTGCTCTGAAATACAGTACTTGTGAAACAATTCCTAAATACACTTTTATGTTGACCTAGACTCTCATAACCTTACTTTATCTGATTCAAAACGACAATGAAATCTGACAGTGAGAGTTCATGTTAATTTGATATCTTCTTTTAAAATTGCACAAAGAGGCTGTACAGTATGTATTTTCACACTACCATAGAGATTATAGCATACCTGCTTGCATTTGAATGTGAGATCATTTTGAAACAGTTTTACTGTAACTTTCACATGTTTACATCCCATATTATCTTAAAGGAATAGTTAACCCGAATGAAGGTTCTGTTATCATTTACTCACCCTCATGTTGTTTGTGTGACTTTTTCTCTCTTCCACTGAACACAAAATGAGTTATTTACAAGACTGTGCTGCTTTGTATTTTCTATGAAAGTACAATGAATGGGACTGAGGAGTTCAACCTCAAGAAAAGAACACAAAAGCACAATAAAAATATCATAAAAAATGATCTGTGCGACTTGTGAACTATAATTCTTGTCAAGCCATACTGTAGCTGTGTGTCAGAAACACACAAGATAATATCTCTAATTTTGGGCTGTTTCTCACACAAAGCTTGAACGCTTTTGCAACCCTAAAAGCTTCAATCCCCATTTATTGTAACTGCATGTATTCTTAGAATTCTTAGAATTCACAGAATGTTCAAAGACATTTCACACTGTTCATTCTTGGTAGTTTTCCTAAAAGCATAATTTCCTAAAATTCCACTTTTCACTTCTTTCTTATCATCTCCATGTTCTTGTATAGATTTGAAATGTGTAATAATGTGACAGCTGAGGTGTATCTTCGCTCTTACCTGACCCCCTGCATCAATGACTGTGGCACCTATGGCCAGTGCAAACTCCTGCGCACCAACAACTACCTGTATGCTGCATGCGAGTGTAAAGCAGGTGAGCACTCAAAACCTTTCTTAACCCATGTGTTCTCTTATGTAAAACCATTGTTGTAAATCAGAGAAGAACAATTAAATGCATTGTCTTTGAATTTTCTGGTGTGTGTAATAAATTGACTGTTTCATAGTGTTTTACATTTACATTCTAGGTTTTAAAGGCAGAGGAATTTAAGAATCAGTTCACACATACTAGATAATGTTTATGCCTGGGAATCAGCAAAAACCTGGTGATATTTTGGTCAAGATTAAAAAATCGGTAACACTTTAGTATAGGGACCAATTCTCACTATTAATTAGTTGTTTATTTGCATGCCTATTATTAACATATTAGCTGTTTATTAGTACTTATAAAGCACTTATTCTACATGACCATATTCTGCATTTCTAATCCCGATACATAAACTTAACAACTACCTTACTAACTATTAATAAGCAGCAAATTAGGAGTTTACTGAGGCAAAAGTATAATGGTTTGTTAATAGCGAGAATTGGATCTTAAAATAAAGTGTGACCAAAAAAATCTAATATATTGTGCATATATATTTAGATATTTTTCTCTCTGTCTTTTGTCTGCATTGTGCAGGTAAGGGTTTTTCTTGTTTTTGAAAAGTTTCTCATGCTCACCAAGGCTGCATTTATTTGATCAGAAGTACTGTAAAATATCATTACAGTTAAATTATTTGTTTATTTTTTAAAATGTAATTTATTCTAGGCTGAATTGTCAGCAGCCGTTACTCCAATCCTCCAGAGATCATTCTAATATGCTGATTTAGTGTTTAAGAAACATTTCTTCTTATTATTAGCCTTAAAAACAGTTGTAATTAGATTATTTGATAAATAGAAAGTTGGAAAGTTACAGTATATTTAATTGTTCTATTTATTTTAAATAGAAACATTTTGTAACATTATAGATGTTTTTATCGTCACTTTTGATTAATTATGTGCATTCTTGCTGAGGAAAAGTAATTTCAGGAAAATGAAGCAAAATGAAGGAGCAGGAATTCTGAGTCTTTTAACTAAGTGAACAAGTCTATCCCCCTCCCCAGGGTGTTATCCCCCCTGTGGTTAATATTTTATAATTCCAGTTATTATTTTTCTCCTCTACTGTCAGATGCCAATCAAAGTTAATTGGCATGTTGAATGGTTCAATGACACATGTGCCAATCATGTCGCTCTATAACTATGAGATCACAAATCAAGTGGTTTTTAATTAGAGGACATTTGACGATCCTGGGAAATATGCTAATCACAACCTCTCAATTACAGCGTCATTATAAAGCTCTGTTGCCTCGTTTCCCCTCTCCCCCTGGATTCCTACCCATACTTTCTTTTGTCATTAGCATAGACAAATTTACCCTTTTAATGAATGTTTTCTGGCAAACAGCTGAGTGCTCTGATACAGCACGCATGCAAAGCTCTTCTCTGTTCTCGAGTGTCTGGTAAAGCTCAATTGACCTTCTTTGTCGACACTCAGCGAGACTTCAATCACTACATGCCTTTGAGGATTTTTGTTTGTGGTTTGACTAATTAAGGCTTCGTAATCAGAGAGATTTGTGGTATGTTTTCTGGCATTTTCTATGAGAGGTTAGAGGTGCAGTACATCTATTTCCTTCATGGTGTTTATATAACAGTAGGCTGCCCGAATCCAATCTATATTTATGAAGCTGTTTACAACAGCTGACAGATGAGGAACAGAATGTGTGTGTGAACGAGGAAGAAAGTACATGTGTATTTCTGTGATGTTTTTTTCCCCGTCTTTTGTTAGTTTTAAATGCGTTGCCAATGTGTGTGTTTTATTTATTTGTTTTTCGCTTTCTTACTTTGCTTTGCGGATACGGACAGTGGTATATTTTACATACACTACCTTTTCAAAAAAGATTTTTTTGAAAAGTTTCTAATGCTCACTGAAGCTGCAATACAGTAAAAACAGTAATACTATGAAATATTATTGCCATTTAAAATAACTGTTTTCTGTTTGAATATATTTTAAAATGTAATTTATTCCTTTGATGGCAAAGCTGACTTTTCAACAGTCATTAATCCAGTCTTCAATGCACATGATCCTTCAGAAATCATTCTAATATGCTGATTTGCTGCTCAAGAAACCTTTGTTATTATTATCAATGCTGAAAACAGTTGTGCATAATGCATGTTTTTTTTCTCCAGGATTCTTTAATGAAACGTAAGTTCAAATGAACAGCATTTACTTGAAATATAAATCCTTTTTAAAATGAAGGAGCAGGAATTCTGAGTCTTTTAACTAAGTGAACAAGTCTATCCCCCTCCCCAGGGTGTTATCCCCCCTGTGGTTAATATTTTATAATTCCAGTTATTATTTTTCTCCTCTACTGTCAGATGCCAATCAAAGTTAATTGGCATGTTGAATGGTTCAATGACACATGTGCCAATCATGTCGCTCTATAACTATGAGATCACAAATCAAGTGGTTTTTAATTAGAGGACATTTGACGATCCTGGGAAATATGCTAATCACAACCTCTCAATTACAGCGTCATTATAAAGCTCTGGTGCCTCGTTTCCCCTCTCCCCCTGGATTCCTACCCATACTTTCTTTTGTCATTAGCATAGACAAATTTACCCTTTTAATGAATGTTTTCTGGCAAACAGCTGAGTGCTCTGATACAGCACGCATGCAAAGCTCTTCTCTGTTCTCGAGTGTCTGGTAAAGCTCAATTGACCTTCTTTGTCGACACTCAGCGAGACTTCAATCACTACATGCCTTTGAGGATTTTTGTTTGTGGTTTGATTAATTAAGGCTTCGTAATCAGAGAGATTTGTGGTATGTTTTCTGGCATTTTCTATGAGAGGTTAGAGGTGCAGTACATCTATTTCCTTCATGGTGTTTATATAACAGTAGGCTGCCCGAATCCAATCTATATTTATGAAGCTGTTTACAACAGCTGACAGATGAGGAACAGAATGTGTGTGTGAACGAGGAAGAAAGTACATGTGTATTTCTGTGATGTTTTTTTCCCCGTCTTTTGTTAGTTTTAAATGCGTTGCCAATGTGTGTGTTTTATTTATTTGTTTTTCGCTTTCTTACTTTGCTTTGCGGATACGGACAGTGGTATATTTTACATACACTACCTTTTCAAAAAAGATTTTTTTGAAAAGTTTCTAATGCTCACTGAAGCTGCAATACAGTAAAAACAGTAATACTATGAAATATTATTGCCATTTAAAATAACTGTTTTCTGTTTGAATATATTTTAAAATGTAATTTATTCCTTTGATGGCAAAGCTGACTTTTCAACAGTCATTAATCCTGTCTTCAATGCACATGATCCTTCAGAAATCATTCTAATATGCCGATTTGCTGCTCAAGAAACCTTTGTTATTATTATCAATGCTGAAAACAGTTGTGCATAATGCATGTTTTTTTCTCCAGGATTCTTTAATGAAACGTAAGTTCAAATGAACAGCATTTACTTGAAATATAAATCCTTTTTTTAACCACTTTTGATCAATTTAATGAGTCTTTACTTTAAAAAAACCTTACTGACCCCAAACTTTTGAACAGCAGTGTACCTACTTTCAAAGGGATGGTGCATCCAAAAATGAAAATTCTGTCATTTACTCACCTTCATCTCATTTCAAACTTGTACGACTTTCTTTCTTATGCAGAACATAAAATAAACTTTGAAGACATGCTTTCCACATTCTTTTCCATGTAATTACAGTGAACTGGGACTGAAGCATTCCAGATACATGTTTAAAACGATTTCTTTCTAGGCCATTTTGAGTCAGGACCATTAGGACCATTTTGGTCAGTAACGCATGTGTGCTTTTCTAGGTTGGGATGGCTGGGGTTGCACGGACAACACAGAGGCATACTCATACGGCTTCCAGCTGCTCTCAACTCTCCTTCTGTGCCTCAGCAACCTGATGTTCGTCCCACCTGTGACCATCGCCATCCGCAGTCATTACCTGCTGGAGGCGTCTGTCTATATATTCACCATGTTCTTTTCCACTGTGAGTTTGAAGACCTATCAAAAACATATACCCAAAATGGGGCTAGCATACATATTTCAGTTGCTATGTTGACATTAACAGGTAATATTCCTCTGTCTTCATGAATCACCTCAAATGAAATAAAGAAATGTACAGCTTCAAAAATAATAAAAAGGAATAATCCCAACTCTAAATTCTGACTGAATGAGGTATGTTCAAAGCGATTGTAACTTGTACATTAAATTAACGGACCAGTCAGATTAAAGAACTGGAACTAACTGTTGTATACTTTACATTTTATATTAGATTTGCATTCTGTTTTGTTCCTGTATTGAACAAATATGTCTAATTAATGCAATAGGTGCTTGAAGACCTGCTGACTATCTCACAAACCATTCATGAGTCCTAATTCAGCATATCAGTGGCAAGAACCAGTGACATGTCAGAGTGTCATATTTTATTCATGCTTCCTCTGACCTTTTGTTTTCTTCTTTCACCCCTGAACAGTTTTATCATGCCTGTGACCAGCCAGGCATTGTGGTCTTCTGCATCATGGAGTACGACGTGCTGCAGTTCTGTGACTTCCTCGGCTCACTCATGTCTGTATGGGTCACTGTCATCGCCATGGCCAGACTCAAATCCATTATCAAACAGGTAAAAATCACTCAGATGCAAAACTCAAAACACATTCAATTTCCATAAACCTTGTGTTTTTTCACTCTGTGCTTCCAAAGTGTGGCTAATATTCAGTGAGCTCAAAACGTGTGTTTGCATTGAATAAACAAGAAAAAAAATCTAACCAAGTTGAAATTTACACTACTATTCAAACGTTTGGGGTCAATATATAAAGCAATTAATTTAAATTAAAATAATCTTTTGTTCAGCAAGAATGCATTCAATTTATATATAAAAAGGGTGACAGTAAAGAATTAATGTCATAAATTGTTTCTATTTTAAATAAATACTGTTCTTTTGAACTTTCTATTCATTAAATAATCCTGAAAAAAATTGTATCACAGTTTCAAGATAAAAAAAAATAAAAAGATATATACATATATATATTAAGCAACATTGATAATAATAAGAAATTCTTGAGCACCAAATCAGCATATTAGAATAATTTCTGAGCAATCAGCTGACACTGAAGACTGAAGTAAAGGCTGCTGAAAATTCAGATTTTCAATCACAAGAATAAATTACATTTTAAAGTATATTAAAATAGATTTTTTTTTAAATTGCAATAATATTTCACAATATTACTGCTTTTATGGTATATTTTAATTTAAAAATGCAGCCTTGATGAGCATAAGAGATTCCTTTAAAAAGCATTAAAAATCTTACTGACCTCAAACATTTGAAAAGGAGTGTATATGACTAAAATTATCTTTTTAGGGCCACTGTATATAAGAACCACAATCTGATTGTTAAAATTACAAATGAAGGCCCTGGGGCCCAGAAATGCTAGATATTTCTTGTGTCATCAATTTCTATAAATTCATTTTGTGTGATTCATAGAGGCCAGTAGTTTTTCATGGACTATATTGCCAAGAAAAGAGCTTCCCAAGATGTGCAAGAGAGCAGAAATTTTGTCCACCTCAGTAAAGTGTAAATATACGAATGTCAGCAGGTTGTCATGTGCTGTCATAATGATGGTGACATTTCGCTGTGGAGCTGAGGAAATATAGGTGGACACTTTCAGGTGTGTGTATGTGCACACTCTCTGTAGTTCAGTCTTCAGCTGCTCAACTGCAGAGGGAAAGAGTGAGCTTTAAGGAAAGGAGCACAGGGAGAAAGACAGTAAGAATGTGATTAACTTCATGTTTGAGTCATTTAGAATCAGAGAGTGAGAGGACTACTGTTTGTGATGGAAGCGTCTAATGGAGAGAACAAGAACAAAAGCTCTCCTCTAGGGAGAACGCATCTATATGCGTTAGGTGATTGCGTGTGCATGCCTGTGAATGTGTTTTGCTGAGTGCTGCAGTTTGCAGACACTAATCAAATCACTCATGTCACAACAGTTCTGAACTTTAGGAAGGAAGGAAAGAGAGTGAGAGAAAAATTTTTAGCACCACCTCTCTTTACTTACAGTCTGTCTGACAGAGGGTGGCCAGTGCAAGATGGTCCTAATTGGACTGGGGATCACCTCTAGACATGATGGGTTTTCGATGTTTGGACTAATATTTGCCTCTCTCCTACCAGGTGCTGTACTTGCTGGGGGCGATGGCTCTGTCAATGGCCTTACAGCTGGACCGCCATGGCCTGTGGAACCTTCTGGGCCCCAGTCTTTTTGCTTTAGGCATCATGGCCATCGCCTGGGTAAGTATTTTTATGCACATGCATAGATTCCATGTGTTTAAGACTGTAATGCATCCTTATTAGATGTTTAATATAACAATAGAATATGCCAGAATGGATTTCAGTTATACTAGACATGGCTCAGAGCATAAAAACAGATGTTGGAGTTGTGGTGATTATTTTACCTACACCTACTGAAACTACTGGCGTAAACCAGCAAATGCTGGTGTGCTAGTCTTTAATAGTATGGTTTATGTTGGTCTTAGCTGGTCTAGTCGGTCTTCCAGCTTGGCCAAGCAGGTTTTAAGCTGCCAGTTAATCTTCTAGCTGGTTTATCAATGCCTTAGCTGGTTTAGGTTTCTCTTCAACTGGTCTAACTGATCCTCCAGCCTAGCCAAGCAGGCTTTTAGATAATTTAACTGGACAGCTAGTTGGTCTTCCAGCTGGTTTAGGCATGTCTTATGCTGGGTTCAGACTACACAATATTTTTGTCGGTCACGATAGTCACTGTGTCAGATTACACGATTTTGACTCCTAAAATCTTGTCGTGTCGTGGACAAGAAACATGTCAGACTACACGTTGCTTCCCGACCATTCATCGTGTGCCGTCTTTAACGACGCGCGTGATGTCATCGAGAAGGCGGAACTAGCGACTGACTTCCGAAAACAAGAGTGTAAACATTGCTGAAGCGCTTCCGCTATAGTGTTCGCCAGCATTTTTCTTTCTTTGTTCTGTCGTGGTAGTCCCTCGATGACACATCATACAGGCAGGAGTACTGTTGCCACAGCTCCACGAACCTTTCCTCCATCTCATAATTATTTTGTTTCACTATGTTTGAAACCTGTGTATGAAAGAGCTTCTGTGCTGCTATTGGTCAACGTCACCAATGTGACAGAACTCGTTGTGGACGACGGAAAAAAAATTAATCATGCTAGTCTTTCTGTCATGATGTCGTGAAGCATCGCAGACGTGGAATCGGTTGTCGTCCACTATGACACACTACACGTGCTGAAACAATGGAATCTTGTGTCCCGACGCCCATTGTCGTTTAGCCAGGTGTTCTCCCAGCTGGTTTAAGCAGGTCCTAGCTGGTTTAAGCTTGTCTTGAGCTGGTCCAGTTTGGTCTCAAAGCTTTGCCAAAAGATATTTAACTAGATTAGCTGGACAGTCAGTTGGTCTCTCAGCCTGACTAGGCCCAAAACCTTTTAAAAACCACCCAACAGACCAGCAAACCAACTTTTTTTTTTCAATGGGAAAAACAAACATTTTCGGCTTTGCATGTGGATAAAATTAATTTTATGATTGTTTGTAAATGTAATAAAAACATCATATTATAAGGCAATGTGCCTGTGTGTCCAAAAATGACCTTGTTCTTTCAGTCTGATGGATCCGGCAGTTAAATGCCAGCGCAATTTTTTCTTTGACTATTAAGTGACAACAAAGCACCTTTTCAATATCTATAATTTATGAAGGCATTTCGCGTTACCTGGTCCAGCACGTGTCCCCACATTCAAGGCTGCATTTATCTGCGCATTAGCATGGTGTGGCATTAAAAGTTTCTCTGTTCTGTCAGTATTACCAGGCAGCTTGTACTTTATGCTAATTCCTCATGCGACCACACTGCTTTCCTGAAGTACGATGATAAAAAAATAATGGGTGTTGGACAAGGAAGAGTCTTTGCCAGAGCCTCTGGCAAATTATAGTTGAGTAAGAGAAGCACGTCCTCCCTTGAGTTGAATGTGCTGGCGGATATATATGCAGAGAGAAGAGGAGCCAGCGAACTACTACTGCAGCTACAAAGATATGCCGTATTGTGTGAGAGAGAAATAATGACAGAGGATAGCAGATGTTCAACAAGCAGAGGTCTTTTCTTCATTCCTTGACCTAAACTCATATCTGAAGGCACTAACAATGCTTCTAACAGAACAGAATGAGGAAAATCACATCTGAACTGAATTAAAGACACGTTTTGTTATTTTGGTTGGGAGGTGTTAGATATTTGCTACACTCAAACGTGTTTTTGATGCAAGTTAACACATTTATGACAACTGGTGAAGCAAAAGAATTGTGTTAAAATTTTAGTTAATCTTATTAACTGAAAAACTATTATTAGCATAGTACTACAAACACTTTTAATATAAACACTACAGACTAAATACCTGAATAGGCTGAAATGTTCTTGCATTTCTGAATGTCATATTGAAAGACACTTCATTGAATGTGACACTGACTGTCAAATGCACACGACTATCATCTCCATGGCACATAATGGCTTTGTAGTTAAAGCATGTCAGTTGACACCTCCATTTCAAAGCTCCCCGAGCCGACGCAAACACAGTACAAAGCGTCCCACTGTGTGATTCTCACATCCTTTTTAGCACTGAGGAAAAAGCTACAATTTATCAAGCTTGTGACATGCTACATCCACACAGTTAGTTTACACTGCAGTTTATCATTATCTTCTGTGATCCTCTCGTTGTGTTTTTGGGCTCTGCATTCTGAATGTACACATAAGTGCTTAAATTAGAGCAGTCATACTGTCGATTAGAAGTAAAAAAAAAGTGGAGTTTTTTTTCCTAGTAATTTTCTCCATAGGCATTTTGAAGTGAAGAGGTTTACAAATGACCTAAACTAACCAACAACATTATATCATACTAATTGTTACAAAAAAAAAACAAATTTAATCAATGTTCATCTGTTATTATTTTTTCATTTTTATTTAATTTATTTATTTATTAAATGAAGAACATAAAAATAAAAAAGATAAAAAATCTCTGAGAAAAAAAAATCTGAATTCATTGTAGGTCCATCTTCTTGAATGGTCTGTTATTGTTAAAAATAAATTTCTTCGGAAAATGAATGGGATTTTTACTTCCAGAACACTACTGTTGCTCTCTAAAGAGACTAAATTCATAGACGGAGAAAAACAGAAAGATAAACATATTGTCTGGATGGGTCTTCTCTCTCACCCTTACAGTGAGGTTTGAGTTTCATTTGTTATATCCAATAACAGACACAGTTTGAATTCTAACACTTAAAATCAAATTACACCTGCTAGAGGAATACACATTTTATTTTTACTGTAGAATAATGCTTGAGATAGTGCCTACAAAGTAATAAAGGCACATGATATGGCATTGTGAGAAGAAGGATGAGAAACCTTTGGAATTCTCTCCATTTCTGTATGAACAGTTCTAAAATGTGATCTATGTCAGAACGTTTTCTGTAAATCTTCGTGTTGTGATCATACCACTCATAGCAGTTAGGTATTTTAACTGGTGTTTTAGTTGTTAATTGTTTAATTTTAATTGATTTGGCACAGCAGTGTATTGGAGGTCAGCATTCTGACTAAAGTCATAATAAGAATGTATTTGATGTGGATATACAGCTACTTTTGAACCATTGTCATCTTGCGTGATCCTTCTGAGTTTCAGATTCAGGGTCAAACGCAAAACAACTTCTGGTGTGGAATTTTCTGATACAACTTTAGTGTAGCCAGGCCCTGATGCAGCAAAGCTGACAAATTTCATTACACTTCCCCATGCTTCACATATGAGATAAGGCTTTTTTTCTCCTCAAATATAAAATATGTCATTGTTTCAGTGATGCTTTGGAACCTGGAGGAGGTCTTTGCAAACTTTATGTGGTCATCAGCAGTAATGTTTCAAAAGAGTTATTTCTTCTCTGTGGTGACCTCCCATGGCTCTGTTTCATACACATTGATCCATGATTCATGCAGTTTATTGTTATGAGCTTCAACAACTCAACACTTTATAAATTAGTTATGAAATAGTACCTACTATATATACTGTAACCCGATGACATATATTACATATTGAATACCTGGGAAGTGTTTTGACAGATTTTAAACAGAAATTATATGATGTAAAATTAATATGAAATATTTATGATTTGCCCCACTAATTGAAGGAATCTGTCTGGGAGGCCCGTAATACTGCATGAAGTATGAAATGACACACATTTTTATTTATTTTTTTATTCTGGATACAGAAAGAAGATTACATACTTCTTGTGAACATATAAAACAGCTGATAGAGAAAAATATCATTTTCATCTATTTCATCCTTTTAAAAATCTACAGAATCAGGTACGGGTAAAACTTCTACTTTGTAGAATTTTTTTATATATTATTGTAGTATTTATTAATATTTTGAATTAGAATTTATATTTAATTTTTATTGATTTTTGTTTTATTTTTGACATTTGTATTAGTTTTTTTATATTTCCATTTAGCTTAAATGTATTTTTATTTCAGTTTTAGTTATAAAAACTTTAGCACTTCAACTTAGATAATTTCAGTTAGTTGCCAAGACAACATTTCAATTTTTTTTAAAGTTTATGTTTCCATCTAATATTCATATTCATTTTATTCTGGCTTTATTTCAATAAAGAAACAGTTTTAGTTTTATTTAACAAGAACAACTGTGATGATTTATAGGTTGCTTGGATAAATTGTCTTTTGTCAGAATATATATATTTTTGAATGGTTTAAATGGAGATAGCTATTCTTTTTGGCCAGATGGCATAATTACGGCATCTACCAATAGGGGCTACTGTAACTGAACCATGCTAACTAGAAACTAGTTAACAAGCTTCTATTCTCTGATGTGAATATATTGACTGAGCTTCGTGCATGATGCAGCATCTCACAGCCAAAACTGGTAACAAATAACTGCTGAAAACATAAACAATTATGCTAAGTAGCCTGTGGGCTAGTAATACATTTTGCTTTCATAAATGGTGGCATCTCAGTGCTCCAAAAGCATGCTAACCAGATTTGAAGTGTGAAGCACCATGTTTCAGCTTGTATCCAGGCATCATTGATTCATGCGTCATCCAATCAATATCCTGCTTGACTGATTAATTCTTTGGAATGTATTAGTGCGTAGCCCTCAGAGGTGGTTAAATAAGTGTGATTCATCTCAGGAGCAGCCTGTGCTGTATGAGGATGTGGTCAGGACCGTGGGGGTTGGATTCCAACCCTACTGTCAAAACAGCAGCCTTATAATGTGAAATATAAATGAGAATCAATTTCAATGAGTCAAAAGGAACATATGGGAGTCAAGTACATTTTGAGAATAATCCTCATCAATAAACAGTATGCGGCATGATGTACACCAATATGAAGCCTTGTTTTGTTGTTGTGTGGGATGTTTAGGTTGGGTTGGTTCAGACTAGGCCCATCAGTTAAGTGTCACATTTAGAGCTCATCCATTTACCATTCTGTCCTTTTGCAACATGCACCTGTTATGTGCCTGGAGATTGATGCGTGGGGAGATGTTGACACAAGGGAAGGATGTTTCTTTTTCATAATGGTTTAAGCTGTAGAACTCATTATAAACTCATAATGATACTGATATTTGCATACACTGTAAAAAAATATTTTGTCATCTAACCTAAACATGTGTCTAAATGAACTGTTTTTATTCATAATTTTTGTTATTATGAATTATTGTATTTATTTTTTATTAGGTAAAAATGTTGTTTAATATGATTGAATGAATGAGATTGCACTTACACTATTTTTAAGAGTCAGCCCAGATAGAAATAGCAGAAAAAGAAAGAAATGTTTCTACTTGAGCTGACCCTTAATGTAATATTAATAATATTTATTTTATTTTATTTATTTTTTATATACTGTACATTTAAAGTAAAATGTGCCATAAGGGACCTTTTCTACCTGAGCTGACCCTTAATAACTTTCTTTGGTGTATGTGGTGTGTGTGTGTGTGTGTGTGTGTGTAAGGGGCTGTTTCTACCTGAGATTACCATTAATGCCATAATAATAATAATAATTAAAAAATACATTTTTTTTGTGTATTGCATTAAAAAAAATTTTTTTTCATTTAGCGTAAAACAGATAAGTTGTAGCACTGTAAAAAAGAACAAAAGAACAGTAAATCTGGGGAATGTTTCTGCCTCTTCAGTATCTTCAAAGACAAAGCTTTAATAAAATGAATGTGTGTTGGCATAAACAAGGTTGAATCACATTTGGATTATCATCAAAAAAATCCATTACATGCATTTTTGACAGAGAAATGCATGTAAAATAACCGTCGAGGCCGCTTGAGCAGTAAATTCAATAAACTTGCACAAAATAAGAAAGGATTCAGTGAGTGCTCTTTCCATTGTATGGAAATGACAAAATATGCATAATGGCTTTGAAGGCTTTCCGGGACATTTTCAGATAAAGATCTTCTGAAGTATGTGACTGTAATGTGACAGAGGACAAGAAATGGAATTCCTCAGCAGTTATAAAGTTTCACAAACTTTAGTAACTTCGGTTTTGAAATTGCACAGAAAGCCGGTAAAAGCTGGAGTCGAATCAGTAATCCGAGAGAATTTGAGATTTGCAATGTCTCGGAGGGCCCAGACCTTCCTATATGCAGCAGAAATGTGATTGAGTCATCAGCAGTCACCTGAGTGCGTGTGTGTTTGATTGACTGCTGCACATGCTTGACAGCAGTAACAATGTAGAATCGTGAGATTTAAAGTGTCTCGGCCATTTCGGCCCCTTGCTTTCAATCCTTTGGCTTGCTATACTGTCATAGGATATTAAACATCAGCTTTGAGTGTGTGCTAGAGCTCCCATTGTATATTCCCTCAGCTGCACAGGACAGTTTTTCACAGTTACAATTCATGCCGTGGCTATAAAATTGTAACCTGGGGCAAAGTTCTAGTCTACATGTTGTCAAACAGTGGAACATTATAATTGAAATGTCATGACAGACAGGGAGAAAAGCTCAGCATTTCATTCTCTCTACACTGTCAGGACAGGTGGAAGGTTAATTATGACTCTGAGAACATCTATAGGTGGAAGAGCATGTCTGATGGACACTAGATGCAGACTAGATGCTGCTGCTTGGTGACAACTGCGCAAAAGAGTCTCTCCAGTTCTAACCGCAGAGTTTGCATCTGTTAATCTGTACTGTTACGCATCTGTTAAACAGTGTTTCTCTACACTCAGCTGATTGATTAATACTGTGGAATGGCATTAGTAGGAGCATGAGCGGTGTGAGGTGTGGGAGGACAGCGTGCTTTACAGTCTTCATAAATATCAGGATCCCTTCAAGCTGGAGAATTGAATTTCTAAGTCTGTAAATTGTATGTCCAACTTTATAACTGTGTGCATTCGGATCCAGCTCTAATAGCAGCAGCTCGTGTATATCAGAGCATCTTTATGGGTCTGCAGAAGCATCATGGGCATTAAATCTAATGGGGCCAGCTCAGATATCTGAGCCAGCTGGATTTTGAATACAACTTCCACAACAAAAACGTGTGTCTTATATTATTATAATTAGTATATTATTATTGTAAGTAAAAGATACAAACATAGTCATATTTGGGTCAGTCGTACCTTGAGTTGTTTTCCCCCCATAAAGTGAAAATCCATACTGGCTGTTAAGTTCGACTACAAATGTGTTTGGTTTATTAAATACAAATTAAATATTAGGTCAAGATCAATTGTGAATACTAACAGCAATGTGAAACTAAACATTTATTGACAAAAAGTCCAAATTATGATTGCCGGAATTATGAGAAAATGTCATAAATATGACAGAAATTCTAAATAGTGACATAAAAAGTTGAAATTATGACAGTCGAAACAGATAAAAAAAAATCATAATTGAGGGAAAAGTCGAAATTATGAAACAAAAAGTCACAATTATGGAATCAAAAGTCCTAATTATGACATAAAAGACACAATTATGACAAGTTGAAATTGAGATGTCAGTTATAACAAGTAAAAATAAATACTTTCTTTTTAGCTCATAATTGTAACTTTTTTTCCTCATAATTATGACTTCGTATCTCAATTAGACTTGTTTGTCATAATTAGGACTTTTTATGTCACAGTTAAGTTTTACCAAAGCAGTTGCAGAAATGGGCTTCCAGAAGTGTTTTCAGTAACTGACCCAGAATAATACTTTTACATGAAATATAATCTCAGTTTTAATCCTTTTATATTATATAAGGTTTTTTATATTAGTTTTAAGTAAAAACAGTGATACTTTAATCATTTGCTGCAACTAGTTATCTGTACTTAAATGGTGAAGTTCAGTCTTTGAGATGACCACAATTGATGAACTTGATGATACAAGTGCCACTGGTGCCTGAAGACCCGGTTGGTCCGTGTGTCTTATTAATTCATGCATCTTTCTCATGCGTTTGATTTATTCATGACTGACTTTGTCTCCTGCTCTCTGTTCTTCAGACTGTGCGCACCATCCGCCGGCGCCGCTGTTACCCGCCGACCTGGAAGCGCTGGGTCTTTTTCCTGTTCCCTGGCACCACCATTGCCACATCAGCGGTGGCCTTATTCGCCTTCGTGGAGACGGAGGAGAACTACTTCTATATCCACAGCATCTGGCACATGCTCATCGCTGGGAGCGTCGGCTTCCTTCTGCCGCCTCGTGCCAAACCTGACGTTAAAGTCACTCCCCTGAAGCGGCGGCGAGGCTGTGGCTACCAGCTCTGTGTGAACGAGCACGAGGAGATGGGACTGGTGGACCCAGCGATCATTACCATCAACAGCATATGCACCAGCTGATGATGTTTAGCACCATGGACTTTTATTCGCCTTTCTTCTTCTTCCTTTGGAATATAAAAACATGGAAAACAAAGCCAGAGAACTTACTGATGCACTGTAAATAACTTTTGACCGAAACACACACACACACACACACACATATACGTCAAAGTTTTTTGTCATTGTTATTTGAATTACTATTATCGTTAATAATATCGTTTGCATTGTTAGTATCTGGGAATGGTTTGTGTCAGTACACCGATGCACTGTTGTTAGTGCATTATTTAAACCATCTGAGCTGATTTTTCTGCTGCTACTTGACAGTGACTGTCAAATTAAAAAAATGTGTCATGTAATTTATTCATTGTTTTCTGGCACTCAAATGACCAAATGTTTTATTGTGTTTAGAGGATGCAAAGGAAGAATAATATCTGGATGTATCAAGGGCACTGCTCTTTTTTTTTTTTTTAGTTTTCTTTCTAAACATCTTTTGCACTGAGACACAAAAATGTGATACTGTACATTTTTTAAATATAAGTATAGTTATGATCCAGTCACAATGTGTACATGTATAGTATAGTTGTTTTCAGTGGAATGTCTGATTGTACTTTGGATTGCATTGTATTGCCTTTGCAGCATAATTGATTGTCGATTTATAGAGGGTTTAGGAAAGTGTCCATTGCCAAGACCAGGTTTTAATATGAAACCTCAGATAAATAACCTCATATTTCCTGTTGTATTTACCTAGCGAGGATCAGAGGGAGACATTTTAAAGCAAAAGCAAATGATAAAGCAAATAAACGTTTTATTTTTTCGGTATCAAATCAGATTCTTTATTTGGCTAGGTGTAAAAAGTAATGTGTTCTTCAGACTGTGCGCACCATCCGCCGGCGCCGCTGTTACCCGCCGACCTGGAAGCGCTGGGTCTTTTTCCTGTTCCCTGGCACCACCATTGCCACATCAGCGGTGGCCTTATACGCCTTTGTGGAGACGGAGGAGAACTACTTCTACATCCACAGCATCTGGCACATGCTCATCGCTGGGAGCGTCGGCTTCCTTCTGCCGCCTCGTGCCAAACCTGACGTTAAAGTCACTCCCCTGAAGCGGCGGCGAGGCTGTGGCTACCAGCTCTGTGTGAACGAGCACGAGGAGATGGGACTGGTGGACCCAGCGATCATTACCATCAACAGCATATGCACCAGCTGATGATGTTTAGCACCATGGACTTTTATTCGCCTTTCTTCTTCTTCCTTTGGAATATAAAAACATGGAAAACAAAGCCAGAGAACTTACTGATGCACTGTAAATAACTTTTGACCGAAACACACACACACACACACACACACATATACGTCAAAGTTTTTTGTCATTGTTATTTGAATTACTATTATCGTTAATAATATCGTTTGCATTGTTAGTATCTGGGAATGGTTTGTGTCAGTACACCGATGCACTGTTGTTAGTGCATTATTTAAACCATCTGAGCTGATTTTTCTGCTGCTACTTGACAGTGACTGTCAAATTAAAAAAATGTGTCATGTAATTTATTCATTGTTTTCTGGCACTCAAATGACCAAATGTTTTATTGTGTTTAGAGGATGCAAAGGAAGAATAATATCTGGATGTATCAAGGGCACTGCTCTTTTTTTTTTTTTTAGTTTTCTTTCTAAACATCTTTTGCACTGAGACACAAAAATGTGATACTGTACATTTTTTAAATATAAGTATAGTTATGATCCAGTCACAATGTGTACATGTATAGTATAGTTGTTTTCAGTGGAATGTCTGATTGTACTTTGGATTGCATTGTATTGCCTTTGCAGCATAACTGATTGTCGATTTATAGATGGTTTAGGAAAGTGTCCATTGCCAAGACCAGGTTTTAATATGAAACCTCAGATAAATAACCTCATATTTCCTGTTGTATTTACCTAGCGAGGATCAGAGGGAGACATTTTAAAGCAAAAGCTAATGATAAAGAAAATAAACGTTTTATTTTTTTGGTATCAAATCGGATTCTTTATTTGGTGCTGTGTAAAAGTAATGTGTTATTTCTTGAAATTGGCACAGAGTGCGGTCTTCCTCCGATATGTTGAAGAAACCGCAAGTAGGGGCCTCTGGGATTCAAAACCCCATTTTTAAATAAATAATTTCCTCCTAAATTCATATCATGACATCATCCTCTGTATGTCGGTTGTTATGAGGATGCTTATAAGAACATTTACCTTTGGCCTGTAGGATGTTCCCATCTGCATTAATGTAATGACTACACTAGCTCTGTGCCCTGCATATGTGCTTTCATATCACTCATCAGTCTTAAACAACATTGAGCTTAAAGACTGTTTTTCTGTCTTGACGTCAGACAATGATTCAATATCGGTCTATCATATCCGCCTTTGACTAGGGATGAATCATGTGTCATGCTACTTGTTAATGAATACTTCTCATCGTACTCCAAAGTAAACATTTGTGCAATTTGCTGAACAAAGTAACTCCTTTTAATTGAAAGTACATCCAGTGATTCTGCCTGAAATTAAATCATTGCTATCATTGTCCTAATACGGGCAAAGTTACTGAAAAGAAACTATTATTTATGGCCGTCATGACTTTTAATCGCTCAGAAACAAACAACAGGGTTTGGGGTTGATATGATTTTTTTTATGTTTTCAAAGAAGTCTTTCATGCTCACCGAGGCTGCATTTATTTGAAATAAAATTATTAATTGCTTTCCAAAAGAAAAAACAAAAAATAAATAAAATAATAATAAATAAATAAAAATACCCCAAACCTTTGAAGAGTAGTGTACTTAAAATTGTTTTTGCAATAATCTATTTTATTAAAACCTAGTGTACTTACTGTATATATATATATATATATATATACTGTATATATATATATATGTATATATAAATTGAATGTAGTGAACTGTGTCCACAAACAAATCAAGTCCTCTCTAAACTTGATCTTTCTTGTGTGTGATTTAGTGGTTTGTGTTGGTATGCAGCTTTTTGCCAATGGGCACTATGCTCATTTCTCCTCACACAACACATTTGCTAAGGCTCTGTCATGGGTTGGAGCAATCTTTTGCAATTTTTCTAGTCAAAATGGGAATGGATGAGAGATGTCACGCTGAGATGGGGGATGCGGTGAGATTGGATGTGGTTTCGAGATGGCGAGTAAGTAACGAGTTAGACCTCTGAGTTAATGAAAACCATTTATTTAACTCATTTAAAATCATTTTCGATTCACAAAATGGCCTTTAACTGTGGCACAATTTTCAGTGAAATTAGAACATGGTATTAAAATCATGATCTAATCCATGCGCTTTCAGTAAATGTCTGAGTATCTGTATTGCAAAGGAAGTGGCTCAGCAGGAGTCTGGACTGACAGCAGCCAGGACGCAGCATTGCAAATGGGAGGAGCAGCGTAACGTGTTTTAATTAAGATAAGCATATAAATTTGTTTGCAGCCATTCAGGGCAGAATGACAGCATTGAATTAGTCCAATGAATGAGCAGCACTTAAGCCTGACACCCACTCAGACACATGAAGTATAGTGGTTGAACAGGATACACGACTAACATTCTGGAAAAACTGGAAAGCAGTTTAATGCAATCAATTCAAGACATACAGTAGGAATAAAATCATTTTAAACGTTTCACCAGTGAAACATAAAATGTTCATTGTGTTTCTATTCATATTTTACATTTTATTGTGATTCAAGTCTTGCATTTTTGGCATCAGTGCATTTTATAGTAGGTTTCCCTATTTTGTGCGTTCCACACCTTGTGTGCTGTTATTTCAGTTGTAATGATAAAGTAGAGGTTTTAGCAGACATTAAAGTCTATAATTTCCCTCCTGTCATCAAACGGAATTGCAAAAATTATGATGAAACAAAAAATGATTCTAACAGGTTTCCTGACACTCCCCTTACTGGTTGAATAAACTGATGGTCCGGCCCAAATCTAATCACACTGGTTCAGTCAATGTTGCTGTTGTTGGGCTGGTTGAGATGTGCAAACAAATAGTTTTAAAAGCAGCATAGCTTCAAACTTTTTTTGGGGCCAGAATTAACTTATGAATGTCTTACAGTTGACACATAATGTGCTGGGCTAGGAAAATTATTTTAAATAAGAAAATGTACACCCTCCAGCTTTAAGCAATAATGCAAGATTCTGAAACAAAAATGGGGGAGTCTTGATGTATTCTTCCCATAATTCCTGGCTTCATAACGCAAAGGATGAGGGGAACAACAAAAGAACTTAAATCAAAACTGACAGTGCAGCAAATCAGCACAATGAAGACAGACCACCAGATTTTTTTTAACAATCACAAAATCAGCTTCAGCAGCAGTGAGATATTTTGCATCGGCACAAAATATTCACCAACTGTACTCTGTACAAAACAGATCTATAAAAAACAACGCACTATCATCGCAATTCGTAACTATTTTTAACCAAATTGATGGTGAATTTGTATGAATTCATACAATCTCATTCATGCATTTTCACAGGATTTCATTGGGGTGGCCCTTTTTTCCCCTAAAAATCATAAATTTCTATATGATTCACATTGTACTAATTCATAGAAAACTGCAGCCACATAAAATCGTTATGTTTTACAAACAACAAAAGAATTAAGCTTTTTGTCCCACAAATCATAAATATCTCACATAAATTCATCTAATCACATAATTCTTACATCAAATAACCTTCACATACACATACTAGTCAAGCACTAAAAAAAAGGTATAAAACTACATAAAAATATTTGTAGGTGTTTGTTGGCAACTGATCTTTTCAAAACAATGTTATAAAGCGGCAGTCCTTCACTCGTCAGGTTCATCAAATCGATTAACCTGTTAGGGTCTGTAGGCTATGATTTACAAGATTAAACAAGAAATTAATATGAAGACATCTCAGAAAGGCATTTGAAAACAAGCTGCTTCTTGAAAAGGAGAGAATATTTAGGATATAGCTTGCTTGTGGAAAAACAGGTGAAGTATTACTTTTAAAAAAAACAATCAAAAAAGGCTGTCTTTTAAATCACCAGTAAACATTTTTTAGCACAAACAAAAATTACATTCACATACATGTCATTCCCAGTATTGTGAGGCTGAAAATAACGTACGTCATGTGGGGTATGAGTGCAATGCTCTTAAAGTGCATAAAGTATCATTTTTACATGATATGTCACAACTGTCCAGATGTTTGTTTTTTTTTTTTGCATTAGTATCCATCAGCATGGACCTCAGTAGCAGGGACTCCATA